TTGCTTAGCCTTACGTCGCCCTTCCAAGGAACTTCAGGAAGGCGCCGCGTAACAATATATATGTTGGTTAGCTTATGTGTCAAAAGTCTTTTTTCTTTCAGAAACCCCCTTTTAGTCAAACATCAAGACATAAAATGAAACAGAGGTAGTATATGGTTGGAGAATATCTTCAAATTGGTTGGTGATCGTTTTGGAGGTTTTCTGGGTATTGATGAAGATACAAGAAATAGGCACCATCTGAAATGGGCGAGAATATGCGTGAAAAGTTCCGATACACCTTTTCTGGCAACGGTGGAATTGATTGTGCAGGATCTTATCTTCAGAATACCTCTATGGGTAGGATCTGGTTTGTGGGTGGAAGAATGTAATCGGAAAAGTAACAGAGAAGGTGATCGGAGTAAGGAGGGTGACCATCGAACTTTGGCCCAGAACTCGAACAGTCGCATTAATGAGATGAACTTGGCGCCGTCGAGTTCCAAGATGAAAGTACAGGGAGTGGATACGCGTGATATAAGCGTGCCAAGAATATTTAATAACCTAAATTTGAGTTTAGGGAGAGGTGACGTGCCACTTAAAGGAAAGGGTAAGATGTCCTTTTGTAACCCTAGGCCCTCCACTAATTCTAAAACAAAGAATTCTGGGAGAGATTTTGGGCAAAAGGCTTTCAATAACAAATCTTTGAAGGGAGGCCCAAAAGATGCAAATAAAGGAAGGGGTTTTAAACCAAAAATGGGCCAAAAAGTCTTTAATAGACCAAAAGTGGCCGACCCATGTATTACTTACGCATCTGGAGATCCAAAACTGTCAAATTCCTTTGACCCACTGCTTGTCGAAGTAGAGGCGAACAAAGAGAAGATAATTTCCCTGGAGGAGAAGGATTTGGAGGACGTACAGTCACAAGAAGATACAAATGAGAGTCTATGGGCTATTGAAATGGCAAAAGAAGCAGATGGAAATTTGGAAGACGATTCGAGCAGAGAAGATACAACTTACAATTCAGATAGGGAGATGGAGAGCATGCTAAGGGGGTATTCAGATAATGATTTCGAGGAAGTCCCACAAGAATTTCACCTTCACATTACAAGTGAAGATGAGATGGAAATCACAACAGCCCAATAGATACTAATGCTTCCATGGCAGGAAAGGGAGAACTTAAACATGCAAGAGAGATTAAACCAGATTGAAGCATCCAGATGGGTAAAACGACACATGACAAGAATCAGCAAGCAATTGGGAGTGAATTCAACAGAAAGAAAAATTGCTGGAAGGCCAAAGAAATGTGATTCTTCTGCTAGCAAAATTGCTTCTCCTGGAAAAAAAGTGTGAGAGAAAAGAAGCTATTAGAGTTTGGGGTTAAATTTAAAGGGGAGTCCAGTGTTGGTGGGGAAAATGGTGGCAGAGGTAAGGATAGGAGGGTTCTATCTATTTCAAAATGAAGCTGAGAATTATTTGTTGGAATTTTAGGGGTATGAATGATAGTGGGAAAAGAAAATTGATTGATTTGCTTTTAAGGAGATGGAACGCGGACGTTGTTTGTCTATTTGAAACAAAAATGAGTGGTCTCAGGCAGGATGATATAATGCAAGTAGGGGGGTCTAGGTGGAGTGAATGTGTAGAATTGGAGGCTCAAGGCAATAGTGGGGGAATTGTGGTGTATTGGGGTAAAAGGAGATGGAGTTGCATGGACAAATATGTGGGACATCATTCTATTACTACTTTCTTGCAAGAGGAAAACTCCGGTTTTCAGTGCACGTTCACAGGGGTCTATGCACCTTGTGACAGGAAGGTGAGGAGAGTTGGCTGCAATTTATGGTTTGACCTTACAACCTTGGGTAATTGGAGGGGACTTCAATGCTGTCAGATTTGAAGAAGAGAAGAAAGGTAACGCTAGAAACTACAGAGCTATGAGGGAATTTTCCAAAATCATTAATGAGCTATCATTGCTAGATCCACCACTTCATGGAGGCTCCTTCACTTGGTTCAGAGGGGAGAATAATCAAAGTGCTTCCAGAATAGATAGGTTTCTATTTTCAGAAAGTTGGGATGAGTAGTTTAAACTTATAAAACAAAGGTTACTGCCCAGGGTGACCTCAGATCACTATCCTATTTTATTGGAGTGTGGTGATTGGACTAAGGGAAAAGGTTGTTTCAAATTTAAAGACATGTGGCTGGAACATAAGAATTTCATCGAGTTGGTGGATAATTGGTGGAATTCTTACCATATACAAGGCAGGCAAAAAGACTGAAGTTGCTAAAAGAAGATTTTAAAAAATGGAACAAAGAAGTCTTTGGTAATCTGGAAGAAAGGAAGGTCAAAGCTTTGTCACAATTGGAAGCTTTGGACCTAAAACTGGACTGATCACGCCCAACTATGCCTCCTAAGAGGTCTAGCGGTCGTTGGAAATATAATCCGGTTTTCAAGTCCGTAGTCGAATCCCACATGGAATTAACCTACTAATTATAACCACTAGTTTCACACGAATTCAAGTAATCAACCTTCAGAAATATTAAATAACGATTTGAATGTTTACTAACTAAGATCAAAGTAATTAAAATGCAGTAATTCATCGGCCAAGCACATGAAAATTCTTATTATAATGGGTGACAGTGACTTAGTTGATTGATTCATATGGTTACAGGTCTTTTAGATTAACTGACCGTCCTCATGATATGCTTGGGTTAAGATGCCTCAATATGTACATCTTATGCATGTGTACTGGTAAAATAGAAGGTTATTTTTAATAGGAAAGATGAGGTGTGTATTAGTAAAATAGGAGATTTTTTTAGGGGATGAGATAGGAACCATGGGCGAGTTTTTTCATTAGATGAAGAGAGATTTATTCAGAAATTCTCAAATATCTGAATTTTTCTGCTTCAGCAAACTTGATGCTGCTTCAAGATTGAAGCAGAATTTTAACCTTTTGATCAATTTAAAAATGGCAGGCACAATATAAAGTTTGAATTTGGATCTGAAATAATTGAAATACAGCATTTTTTTTGTTTTTTTATCAACAAGGTTTCTTGCCCTTGTAGGTTATCACAAGAATCAATTATGGGCAAAGTGTCAGCATCAGTGGACTTGCCGGTGCTGTATCTTTGGCTGGAAGCACAGAAGGCTTATGGTCAGTTGAAGGAGGGAATCAGCAAATGGCTGCTCAATTGATCAATCATTCAGATGTCAAATTGCACCTTAATGAAGAAGTAAAGTCAGTTTCTTTCCTGGGGGGAAATTATCAACTCAATACCATGAAAGGAAAGATTTACCCATGTGGAATAACAGTGGTTGCCACACCTTTAGATGAGCTGAAAATTCACTTTCTTCCAGAAATTTCAATACCTGAGAGGAAATTACAGCACACATATACAACTTTTGTTAGAGGTCTATTAAATCCTGTGAGCACTCCATCTCATGATTTGTTTGTTCTTCACTACAGATACAAAAATTACTCAAAATAGAATCTCATTATGCTTTCAAAAATTACTAAAAAGGAAAGCGCTAGTGTTATTCTCCACTAATTGGGATGGTTTTCTCTGCAAGGCTTATTTGGCTTTAGGTTCCATATCAGATATTCCACAACTGGTGGGCACTGTCGAGACACCTGATGTTCCTTTTTCAAGCATCTCAGTTATTAAGCAGCATAAGGACAATGATATGACATACAAGGTGTTTTCTCGAAGATCTCTTGATGATGCTTTATTAGATCAGATCTTCAGGTATAATCTTATATGGCTAGCTATTTCATCTTTTATCAGAAGTAACTGCATTTGAATCCTTTCATCTACATAAGTTGTTTCTCTATAAGCTAAAAATTTGTGTACCATGCAAAATAGCCATTGAGTTCTTCTGATGCAGCCATTGGAGTAGCTGATCATCTAGTTTGACTCCTTGGGTACTTGTACTAGTGATGTATGTGAGATTTACCAAAAAACTAGTGACGCATGTGAGATTGAGCTTTATAAAAAAAACTAGCGACGCATGTGAGATTGATCAATGATATGTTAGGGTTTGAATTTCTTTGATTCCGTGGTTATTAGATTCTTACAAGGAACTATTGCCTAATCAATTCTCCCAGCTATTGGTTAAATGTTAACTATCATGACTTAGATAATCTCCATTGCCATGGAAACAGTTGACCAATCTCAAAATCATTTGTCTAATTCCAACCAACTACATCAGCCAATGTTACTTTAGGCTCCATCACCAAAAGAAAACTAGGAGAAAAGATAAAAGACTACATAATTCATGTGATTCTTTTATGCATGGAGGATTTATAGAATTATGTACTCTTTTTTCTGTGTACTCTTGGAGAAGTCAAGAGGCATATTATTACGACTTCTGGATCCAAGATTCTTAGGTGGCATGGTGAAAGTTTATCTTGTAACCATTATGATGAGTTACGTAATATTGCTGCTATGATTGCGGGACTGTACAAGCATCATGGATATCGTACAAGCGATGTTTCTTTTGAAAAGGGGCTCATGGCTCAAATTGTCCTTTTATTATGTAGTGCCTTTGTCTTATTAAACCAGTTTTTTACTTCTGGGTTTGAGTCACGTTGGAGGGTAAGTGTGGAAACACTATAGATCCTCCTAATTTGGGAGGGGTTTAAAAGAAAAAAAAAATTGATTACAGGCTGAGCGTTTGCATTTTTGTGTTTGCAGTGTCAGAAATGAGACAGTCCGGATAGACTGGGCTGCATACCCGCACTATCATGCTCCTGAGGTATTTGCACCCTTTATCTTGGATGGTCAGCACTTGTACTATGTGAATGCTTTTGAAAATGCAGCTAGCACCATGGAAACTAGTGCTGTTGCTGGTGAAAATATCGCAAGGCTGATTCTTTCCAGACTTACTGGCCAAAAACACTTGAGTTCAGTGAAATTGGAAAGCTTTGGTGATGATGCATATGATGTGCATGCAGACTTGTGAGTCGAAATCACTTGCCTTTCTCCATACATGTAGAATATGCCAGAGTTTTCAGGTGTTGAGTGCCTAAATTTTTTACTTGCTATACAGCTGTGGTGTATCCACGTCCTAATAAGTTCAGCTGTGAAGTATATGGTTCTTTATTCTCCCTTTCTTTATCCCGATGTGGATAAAATGATATACAGACCACGTTTGTCATATATTACATACATCACACTAGATAGATATCATATTCATGGAATAAGATTCACTTTCAAGATGCCTTGGTGGCGAAATGGTAGATGCACCTTCCAGTACGGCTACCTTGTTACGACGTCACTCCAGTCACTTGTCCCGCCTTCGGCATCCCCCCCCTTGTGGTTAAGTGAATGACTTCAGGCATAGTTAGCTTCCATAGTGTGACGGGCGGTGTGTACAAGGCCCCGAATAGATTGCCAGTGTAAGCCGGAGGAAGGTGAGGATGACATCACGTCATCATGCCCCTTATGCCCTGGGCGACACACGTGCTACAATAGCCAGGAGAAATGGCCTCGCGGGATCCATATTTCTATGACATAAGCACGAACTTAATGAGAAACCAAAGATTGATTGATTGTAACTTCTAATTGGTAAAAGCTTAGGGTACTCTCTACTGAACTGGGGAGAAAAAAAACATTGTATTTATTAGAAATCATAGTTCAAGCTTTGGTGGGTGAAAAAATTTACATAAATTTCCTTATAAAAAAAGAAAAAAGTCTACATAAATTATAGCGAGGTAAAAGTACTTTTATTCGGGGGTGTAACTAAACGTGAATGCTCTTTAGGTTGTACTAGGGCTGCTTATCGGGCGATCAATTAGATATTTGCTTTTAACAGTTCGGCTTATTGATTACTGGCTTTTACATGTACTAATCTGCTATCCAATCGGTAAGATATCGGTTGGTTTGGTATAACATTAGCTGTCGGTTATTGGTTGGTTTATCGTCTAGAAAGTGGCCGGTAAAATATATGCTAAAAAATCATTTTGGACGGGATCACCTCAATGAAGATGACTCACAACTGTATTTTGCCGGAATTAGCCATGGAAACACCAAAGAGTTTATGTAGAGATTATTTTCGACTTTGCCGATTTCTCAAAGGAAAGAGGAAAGAAAACGAGAAATAAACACACTAACATTTTTTTCTTTTCCTCTAGCTCTATTTAAAGTATAATACTTATCCTTAGGGTACGCGTGTTGCTCGTTTCACTGGCCTCAATAAGTTATTTTTTTTCAAAAAACTTCATAGACATTATATTATAAATTGCATAACAAAATATTGATATTATAAGAATTGAGAAAATAATATTCATACAAAAGAATCATATATAGAAACATGATATGCTTTCAATCTCAATTATGATTAATTCAAAGCTTCAATCGCACCTCAAAGAAGAACTAGTGATATATCTTCTAATTTTTATTTTTAAAATTAGTACTTTAATTGAATAAATATCTTAACTAAAAGGTTTTAAAATCGAAGTGCTTTGATAAACCCTAGAGAAATTGCGATCTGATTGCCTTTATTAAAGACCTATATTAGTATTAGAGGTGTACATAAGTCAGGTTGGTTTGATTTTTATTTAATACAAAGACTTGAAATGAAAACTTGCTTCATCATTCCTTACCTGTTTAAAATAAGAAACTCAAAAAGATTCAAAAGAAGTCTAAATATTAGACAAGTAATTTAATAATTATACTTTTAGTTGATTTTAAAATCTTAAATATTAAAAAATAATTTTAAATATTATATATTTTTCAATGTTAAATCTATTTTTAAATAAAATAAAATTATTTTCAAATTATAAAGATACTTTTAACAATTCCTGACGTAAACAAATAAATAAATAAAAAAAACAGTTGCCTAGATGGTAATAGTTCAAATAGAGAAGGACTTAATAGACAAAATGTTAATTGATTTCAACCTTTTAATTTAGTTATATTACATAATTCAAATAAGGAAAGGATTTGTGTAAGGTAATAATTTTAAAGTCCTATTTAGTTTACCTAGTAATATAACCTAACTCTAACAAATTTATATTAGGAATGTATAATACTTGCAAATTGTTCTGAAACCCCAAGATATTTGTTACCAACTATCATCTCTTCTATTACCTAGAATAGTATATATATGGCAAGTAGCTTTGCATAATTTTAAGATCATCACCTTGTCTGATATATGTGTATTCATCTATATTGGAACTTCCTTTAAAGAGTTCTAATATTAATTTACTTCAAATTCTTGTATATTAGATATTTTTAAAAGACTACCACTCATACGGGCCAAATAATGAAAAGGGGAATATTTAATATTAGGACATTCTACCTAGTTCAATAAGGTAAAATTAATGATCAAATTTTTAATTGATTGCAGTGTCCGAAATATTAGGAAGCTAACCTAAATTATAATTTTATCTAATATAAGCGAACAACATTTCGCTAATATAAAAAGAGTAATAGATATTGATATAGATAAATATAAAAAGAGTGGGGGAGGGGGAGAGATTATTCAGCAACACAACATGAATACCTATGAAGCCTTCAGGGTTTCTATAGATACTTTATATACATAGATACTGTTGGGCTTTTAAGCTTGGTTTAGCTTAATTTTAAGCTTGGTGTAGCTTAAAGAGGGTGAATGGAAAATTGATGAAAAATAAAATATTTGAGTTTTCCTCCTTGGCAAAGGGACATTGTCCCATATTGGAGGAAGAAAAGGCTTTTGATGGGTATATATACAATTGCTCTTCTTCTAGCTCTTAAAAAGTTAAGAAGAAGGCAAGCCTCGCGCCGTCGTCGTCGACACTCGCTCCGTTTTGGCTTCGGTCAAAGATTATTTGATTAATCTTTTTAGACAAAATTTCTTTCAATTATTTAATTAATTAATTAACGAAAATTCAATCCGGAATAACCCATGATCCGGTCCGGTCCGGCCCATTTTCTTCTCCGGATTATTTTAAATCCGTTTTTCTATTTTCCCCGCAATATTTTAACAAAAATATTCTCACATGTTCCAACAGCTATGGCTGTTTCTGAAAGGTTTCAAACCTTTCAGAAACAGTGCCAAATGATCTATAAATATGCCTTGAATCCCAGGATCTTTACTTACTAAATTTTTTGATTATCTTCTTCTTCTTCTTCTTCTGCACAATATTTTCCAGTGTGTTTTGCGACCATTGAGTGGTTCGAAGTTCACCGGAATTTTTGGTACCAATACGCTGGTGAGTTAAATCGTTCTATCCTGGGAGGATAATATTCCAACACCTCGGGTACTTGAATGGAATAATTTTCTTAAGGACACACTGTGCATTCAATGGGCTCGATTTATTCCAATATTATTTTTCCAGAATTTATTTCGTGCAACTGGTTCTACTAACTTTCTGTTTCTGTTTCTATTTCAGAAAGTTTAATGGTTTTTATTGTTTATTACAGTAATACAAAGTGAATAACAATCTTAAGGAAATTATTATTGTATTCTGTATTCTGTTTATGGAGATTAAAACCTGTGTGGTTTTCTACTCCTTCTGAATTTTACTATTCTGATTTGAAGATATAAAAACTTCATCAGAGTATTGAAATTCAGAAACGATTTGAAGAACATAAAAATTTCATCGTTTTCTGTAAAACAATATATAAAAACTTTGATTTTTTATTTATTAAACGTACTGTTTATTGTAAATTACAATATTGTTCACTATTCTGTTTTCTGCCATTAATTGGACTCTTCTGTTATTGACAATGAGAAATGACAATTAATAACGGAAATCCTTTTGCGACTCTTGCGGCAACGACGATAGCCTCGTCAAGCCGAACTGCTGTTTCACTGGCCGAGAAACCGGGAAAATTTTCTGGACCCAACTTCAAAGGATGGCAACAAAGGGTGTTCTTTTGTCTTATCACACTTGGTATGCAAAATTTCACTAGTGAAGAACCTCCAGTGCCTGCTGCGGACATGACGGACAACGAGAAATTCATGACTGTTGAGGCGTGAAAACATGCAGATTTTCTTTGCAAAGGCTATATCTTAAGCCCTTTAGAGGATGACTTGTACAATGTGTACAATGCGATAAATACTTCGAAAGAATTATGGGACGCACTTGAGAAGAAGTACAAGACTGAAGATGCATGCTTGAAGAAGTTCGTAGTTGTCAAGTTTCTAGACTATAAAATGATAGACAACAAAACTGTTGGAACCCAAGTTCAGGAGTTTCAACTTATTTTTCACGACCTTATTGCTGAAGGTATGGTCGTGAATGAAGCATTTCAAGTGGCTGCAATGGTTGAAAAATTGCCTCCTTCGTGGAGAGATTTCAAGAACTATCTTAAGCATAAGCGCAAAGAAATGAAGTTGGAAGATCTTGTGATTCGTCTCAAGATTGAGGAAGACAACAAAACAGCCGAGAAGAAGTCTCGTGAAAATTCAACGATCATGGGAGCTAATATCATTGAGGAGACTGCTCCAAAAAAGTAAGAAGAGAAATAGGTCTTCTGGACAGACTAAGGAGCAGAACAAAAAGAAATTTAAGGGCAGCTGCTACAATTGTGGAAAAGATGGTCACAAAGCCCTAATTGTCGTCTCCCGAAAAAGGATAAGAAGAAGGGACATGCCAACATAGTGGAGAAGAATGACGACATTAATGATCTGTGTGCAATGCTTTTGGAATGCAACCTAGTTGGAAATCCGAAGGAATGGTGGATTGACGCTGGAGCTACTCGACATGTTTGTGCTGTCAAAGAAGCATTTGCGACTTACTCTACTACTGGTCCCGAAGAAGAGATTTCCATGGGAAATACTGCAACAGCCAAGATTGAAGGTTATGGGAAGATTTGAGTTGCGGACGTATGGTTAGGACTGGTTTTGGGATTCTCTTGCATGTGGATAGGCCCAATTACAGGGGAGACTCTGGCGAAATTTTTGGAAATTTAAGGAGTTAGTCAAAATTTGGAACTGATGGTGTGTGACGTAACAGTTGGGTCATATTGGATGCTAATGGCAGATCTTGACCCTCATTTGAGGATGAATGATCCTAAGCGGGGGAGAATATAAGGCCCCGTAAAAATTTTCTAATGATTTAAGATTTAAAAATACGCCAGTGGTATTTGGGAATAACGTTTTCGAGTATTAAAGGAGACCTATGGGATATAACCACATGATTTTGAAATAAAAATATATGTTTAAGGTGTGTTGGAACAAAATAAGGAGTTTTGTGAATAGGAAGAATTTGTGTGTAACAAGTTGGAT